CATACAAAGCAGAGCTTGCAACATGATAGCTATTCATAAAGGGTGTTTTTTTTTTACTTTTATATAATACAGTAGTCACACAATGAGGCAGTTCATATTTTTCTCAGTGAATTATTAATTTTTGATTTTCTGGTATCTTGCATGTTTTATGAATCTATACATGTCTAAATGCAGCACTTTTTTTCTGCGATGAGGCATTTGTTTTTATACTAAAATATCTGAACTATATTGAATAAAACTGGAAATGATGTTTCTTAAAATAATTAAACAAATAAGGCACTAATGTTTTTGTAAGATATTTACATCTTTTAAGGACATTCGGTAGACTGTTGGTTCAACTTCAAAACTTGTTTGTATTCAAATTAATTATGACAATGCATATTGAAACAAACTATGATAAAGGGAATTATATTATATAATATATATTAGTGGTTTAATTGTCTGAGTTGGCAACAAGCTACTTCACCAGATGCATATAATTTAAAGTGAAAAGTTTTTGATTTGAATGTAATGAATAATTTTGACATTGACTTGAAATTAATTTTTGTATTACCACATTGTATGTTTGTTTTTTTTTCTCCAGGAAAGCAGCATTGTGCAAACTGTATTCTAAAATATTCAAATCAGAAGATGCACTACAGGTAATCATTTACAAACAATTCTTTCAGCTGATAAATAAATATTTTAGATATGTACTTGTGTATAAATATTTTGTGATTCAATGATATTTAAATAATGTTGCTACTCTCCTTACCATCTTTCATTGTTTATAATTCACACAGTTATAAAAAAATGGATAGGGACCTTTTCATTGACAGTTTTTTGTGTGCAAATTTATGATTTTCTGATTGATCTATACATGTTTATCTACACAGCCAATTAATTATTTGGAATTTGCATGGATTGGGACACCATTCATCGGTGGTGGTCATAGCCCCTTTTATCCTCCTGGTGTTATTACTGGCTATGCAAGGTACGTTCTCATCAATGTCTATTTCTGTCGGTAACCAAAAAAAATGGATGTGAATGTTTGCTTCTATGAAAGAATACTCCCCTGGGGTACACAATACTAGGTCTGGTACATAATACTAGGTCTGATACACAATACTAGGTCTGATGCACAATACTAGATTTGATACACAATACTGGGTCTGATACACAATACTAGGTCTGATACACAATACTAGGTCTGATACACAATACTAGGTCTGATACACAATACTAGATTTGATACACAATACTGGGTCTGATAGACATTACTAGGTCTGATACACAATACTAGGTCTGATACACAATACTAGGTCTGATGCACAATACTAGATTTGATACACAATACTGGGTCTGATAGACAATACTAGGTCTGATACACAATACTAGGTCTGGTAGGTCTGATACACAATACTAGGTCTGATACACCATACTAGGTCTGGTACACAATACTAGGTCTGGTACACAATACTAGGTCTGATGCACAATACTAGGTCTGATGCACAATACTAGGTCTGATACACAATACTAGGTCTGATACATCATACTAGGTCTGGGACACAATACTAGGTCTGATACGCAATACTAGGTCTGATACACAATACTAGGTGTGATATGCAATACTAGGTCTGATACGCAATACTAGGTCTGGTACACAATACTGGGTCTGATACGCAATACTAGGTCTGGTACACAATACTAGCTCTGATACACAATACTAGGTCTGGTACACAATACTGGGTCTGATACGCAATACTAGGTCTGGTACACAATACTAGGTCTGATACACAATACTAGGTCTGGTACACAATACTGGGTCTGATACGCAGTACTAGGTCTGGTGCACAATACTAGGTCTGATACACAATACTAAGTCTGATATGCAATACTAGGTCTGGTACACA